GTAGAGAGTGGAAAATTAATCGACCGAACCGCCACAAGAGCTCCACCATTGGCATGTGCCGAATGACCAAACTCATCTTGATGAGATGAAGTCAGTGCCGCCAATCTCAGCATCAATCAGCAGTTGAATGACGTCAAGAGGGTAGAGAGAAGCTTGGCCACGTGCCAATACGTGCCTGGCATTTTTGTTTTGTCTTTTTTTAGCATCAACCCCTCAAGTCCTTTTTTCTTTCAATTTCGATCTTGAATTTGATTTTGGCTTTCAGGTTAGTCCTCAAGTTTCATCCATCACCATTATTAATTTCTGATTTTGTCCATACAACAAGATTTGCCCTTATGCTCATAACTTTGTTCCTCGTTTCTACCAACTATCAAAATCAACCTCTTAATTTTAAAGACGAGACTCGATGGATGCTAAAAGAGGTCCACATGTGCCTTTTAAAATTTTTACTTTCTAGAGAGTCCATTCTTTAGGGAATTCACGTTACTCTAAGAACTCACTTATTCCAAAGTTCATTCATTCAAAAATCTGCATTCTTCTAGGAATCCACATTGACGATAGGTTACCTTTGGTCTCCCAACCTTAAACTAATAACCAAACTCGATCTCATTAATAGATTACTCTTGAATAAGTTCAAAAAGAAGATTGAGGGAGCAAATAAAAAATAGACGAAACTCCTAAATAAATCCTATTAGCATACATGACGACTTGAAAAACTTTGATTAAAAAAAACTATTTCCTTACTAACCTATGGGACGAGAGGCTATGATCCTAACTAATATTGGTTGTCCCAATTATGGAGTACAAAGTTACTCCAATGAGATAAACAAACAAGGAATGAGGGCTGTCACACGGTGACTTCTAAGCAATCGTAAAAGAATATATGATTCAAAAGATAGAGTCGTCGTTTAGTTTTATTAAGGTGTAAGAAAAAATAAAACAAAACTAACGCCAGATCATGCGAGTCATGGTTAAGAAAGTTGATTATATAATTAGAAAACACCACAATTGCGCCGAGTGTGCCCTCGCAATGAGATTATCTCATATTTCTAACCTATAAGAATTTATTCATAGAAGTTTATTTTATATCTTCTTATCTATCTTGATTTGTGAATTGATTACTAAGCCTTTTTTTTTTAGCTAGTCCTAAATGAGATGATTTGAAGACTAAAAAAAGAATTAATTTCTTACTTAAAATATCATTAGACATTTGGAGCTCGTTTGGAGGGTGGAAGTTAGGATTTACGACCCATTTATAAATTCAATACTCAAGTCCAAATAAAACATATAAAAATAACATAAAAACCAATTTAGACCTTAGGCCTAAGTTCGCTTGTAGACCATAAAAATAAAATTGCAAAACCATGATAAAAAAATTTAAATAATATGGACCTAGGCTTTAAGCCCATATCATATGCCATGCCACTTAAAAATAATGAAACTGGTCTTAAAGCCTAACTTCTAGTTTAGAACCAAATTTGAAAAAAGTAAATTAGGAATACAAATAAACATGACCACACATAAAATAAAATAGCCAATTGATATCTACAAAGCCCTTGACCTATATATTAGCTTATTTTAATTTTCTCATCATAAAAAAAAAAATTATTAGCTTATTGCTAATTTATTTGGGTCTTTCTTTTTATAAGAAAAATAAAATTATAATACCATATAGTCAATCACCCTTAACCTCTAATTAAAAATAAAATTATGATAGACCTTAAAAGCACTAAATGCCCCAAATCCCAATTATATCAAATTTTAAACACACATACAAAGACCACACAAATCAAATTTAGAGCCTTTTAAATGTATTAAAAAAAAAAAAACAAGGATCACAAATTTCATTACTTTCAATTAAGTCTAATTTAATTAGTTTAAATTTAATAAATCATTCAAATTTTGCATTAATCACATTAAAGCAACAAAAGGTCAAAAACTACAAAATCGTCATGCATCTTGCAAAATTTAGACGAAATGAACTGAAAATTAAAAGATCGAGGGCATGCATACCTCAATCAACAAAAAAAGGAGTAAAATGTGGGATTTGAAAAGAATAAATGACCAAAGTGAATGAAAAAGGATAAAAATGGCTGAAGTCGAGGCGCGCAGGGAGCGTGCCTCTTGGTAGATGGAACCTGCTCGCGGTGCATGGCAATTTTTTCATCGTCCAAATGGCATTGCTCCACCAGCTTCTAATTCGTCCAGACTTGTAGCTTCTCTTCATTGGACACATCTATCACGAAGGAGTGAATAAGGCAATCGACGGTGCTTCGTTTCTCTGCTTTTTGTGTCAGCATATGTTTGTTTTTGTGTGTGTGTTTTTTGTTTTTGTTTTTTTTTTTTTAATATATTTGGATTGGGTCTAGACAACCAGGTCTAATGCTTGGCGCACCTGGGCCAGGCACGTGGCCCATCTCGAGTTTGGGTTGGTCTACGGCCACCTTATTCTTTTTTTTTTTTTTTTCTATAAAACAAAAATTAGATGATGACAAATGCGTTTTTTTATTATTATTTTTTAAATGGTACTTACGTTACAAGAATATAGGAAGACAAGTTTTCTTATAATTTGGCTTAGCAAGCTTGTAAAGAAGAGGTGCGATTATAAAAAAAAATGATTATTTATGATAAGATGATCATTTGGTTCAAAAGAAAAATTGGTTATTTATGACAAAGCGACCACCTACTTTGGGAAAAAAAGAAAAGGATTAATCATCTATGACAGAGTAACTTCTTGGTGTAAAGAAAGGAAATTGGTCATTTATGAAAGGTTGATTGCCTGACTTGAAAAAGAAAAATGGTAATTTATGATAGAGTGAGTAAAAAATTAGAAAAACATGTCGCTCATAGGGGATCCAATGGAAAACCGAAAAAAAAAATTAAATATACGAACCGGTTGGATGATAGCCATTCGGCCGCTTCAATTTTATCTTTCGGCTTTAAGCACCTTCTCTAGTAAAACCTCCAACTCCTTCATCTTCGCTTACAATGCCTGCAACTCCTTCGTTTCCCAACAAGAGCCTCTTAGAGTTCTTGAACGAGTTCACAGAGACTCTCCGATCCATTTCTCTCTGCCTTCCGTCTTGACAACAAAAATTAAGTTAATAAAAATAACTATAAAATCCTTATGTTGGTATTTCCAAATTCCAACCACTCCCTTCGTGAAAAGGGCATGATCGGCAGCCAAATGGTTGGCCACTAGAGGGATGGAAGCAACGACCTTTATTTATAATCTCTTAAATAATATAAATTTTTCTTTTCGCATAAATATCTTTTTTTCATGTATTGATTCAATTATCAAAATATCCTTCCATCCAAAAATATATATATAAAAAAAAATTGTTTTGCAAGTATCGAGCTTGCTTATTTTTCATTTACCACCAAACTGCACAACTATAGCAATTAAAAAATAAATAAATAATCTCATCACATATTATCAACCGAATTTTTTTACTTTATCCACACACACACACACATAGGTTATAGCCAATTTATGACTGCCATATCTAATGGATTAGTAATGTACTATTCAAAACAATGAATACATTCTGTTTCGTGGACGTAGCCAGCAAAGTGGTTTGATGGACATCAGATCCAATCATATTTTACATTCGGATGAAAAAGATTAGTCAGATTTTTGTATTATAGTGCATTTAGCCATAACGAAATGGATCTATTGAAAAAATATTCGAGATAGAAGAATTTATTAGTTTCATTTAAATTTAATTATTTTAAAAAATAGATAGATTATCTCACTTTTTTTTTTTTTTAAAAAAAGACTGATGGAAAAGATCATCTGGTGTATAAGCACAAATTGATCAATTAAACCCTCAATATATTCAACCTAAAAATTTATAATTTTAAATCTACTGATAATGTGTGCCATTATATTGGACAACGGATAAATTTAGAGTAAATTATATTAGTCCCTCTAGTTTTGTGACACAAATTAATTAGTTCTTCCTATTTTAAAAACTAATTATTTAGTTTTTTTTTAATCTATTATGTATATATATATATATATATATATTATGAAACGATTGATGAGAAATAAATATATTTTTTGAATAAAATATTAAATTAAGTATAGTTTATATTGGTTAAAGAATTAATTTTAAAAACAAAAGGGATTAATTAATTAATTTTTTTGAAAGTAAATAAACTAATTTATAATTAACTCGGCAAATTTACCATTAAAAAAAAAACAAGAAAGAATAATAATTGTGATCCCTAATGACTTTTATAAACAATACTAAATAATAACACGAAGACAGCAGAAATAATATATATATATATATATATACCTTTTAAAAGAGATCAAATTATAAATCTGGAAATTTTTTTCTCTCTTTGATTTTTCTTTCTTTTTTGTATTTATTTCTTTTTTATAGAATAAATATTAGTAATTACTTAATATATATATATATATATATATATATATCCTTCTTCTCTCTTCAAAAGGGGGTGTTGATGGAAAATTGTAAAAAATCTGGTAGAAATCATACAAATGGCGAAACCCAAGTATCCTTACTGTTTTTATAAAATAATGACGAGGTTGTATATATGTGGCTCCCATTTTTTTGAACACTCACAGATAAGCCGTTTCGTTGCCTCCTTTCATAAAATTCTCTCTTCTCCCCCTTTCTGACACGAGAACAAACTGCACACCGCTCTCTTATTGTCTTAAAAGCAACACTGACCTCAAACATATAAAGAAACCAAAGAAAAAATAACTGTCCTATGTGGGCTTTCTGGATCCACTCAAATGCAAAATCCAACTTGCGCTGTCTATGAAATGAGAAACTTCTAAAAAACTGAACATCCGTTTTACATCTTTTCTCTTAAGTTTTGAACAAGTCCCCGCTTTTTTTTTTCTTTTACATTTTTTCTTGGTGGCTGTTAGTTATATGACAAATTGAGCAATATTTGCTATCTGGGTTTTCTAATTTGAGAGCAAAAGATTGTTTCTTTTTGCTTTCTTGGGGTGTTCGTTATTGACAATGATGTCAATGACATGCCATAATCTTGATTTTGGAATGGCTAAACTTGATTTGGTGGCTTGTGGCTGCTCCTCCAATGGTTCAATGGATAGGTATCCAGTGAGGAATTATGCAAAGTCAGTTTCTAAGAGTTGTAACAGGGATTATGGTTCTAGGAGACTGGTTTGCTGCCGGCGAGGTATTGCTAGGTGTCGAGTTTCTTCAACAAAGACCCCTGAGACTTTACTTGCTGGTACTTTTCTTATGGCAAAAGCACTCTCTTTTTTTTCTTTTTTTTTTTTTTTAATTTAGATTTTTTGTTTTGCTAGCTGATTGTGATATTCATGTGTTTTCCTTTTATTGATGGTAGTTGTATTTGCTTTTCATAGATAAGTTGAAAAATGCTTATTATGATATCTTGCGGTATTAGTTTCACGTCTTGTTGATACTGAATGTATTTATATTCGACGAAACAATCAGAATTTGTTGGATTACAGCTTAGCGTCTGTATCCAACACAAATAACAACCAGTAACTTGTCTTACTGATGCTGATTGAATTTGCTTTAGTGTAACACAATTTGGTGCGTTCAATAAATAATTTTTCGGTTGACCGGCGTTTAGTTCTTTCTAATTCATGATGATTGTGTTGATAGTACTTACTTAACATAGCATTTAAGAGCTTGGTCTCCATTAAAAAAACACCTGCCATTGTTGTAATGACATGTTGTAATGCTTGAAACCTGCCACTGTTGGTATTTTTTTTCTTTTTTTTGGCTGAATACAGGAGTTGCTGAAGGTCCTACAGGACTTCTAGATTTGAAGAAAGAGTCAAGAGAACCAATTTCAATATCAAATTTGTTTGAAGTGGTTGCTGATGATCTCCGGACTCTTAACCAAAGCCTTCGGTCGGTGAGTGCCTATTTTAGATATTTTGGTGTTGAGTAGTTATTATATTTTAGCTATTGTGTAGTTATACGTATGTTAGGATGTGCTTATTGCACACTTTTGAGTTCTTCCATGCCAGTTGTGATGCCTGCTAAATTTTGATATCGTGCTTTTTATCAGTTGATAAAGTTTTATGTTTTGTTGATTCTTGGATACGAATGTAGTTTTGCTCGAAAATGCTATCTTGCATTATTGTGTTTGAAAGTGGCTCAAGTGCCTGCTCATTCATCTTCATTCCCGAGTTAAATAAAGTAGAGATTTCTTCTCTTCCACAGCAAGTTTAGGTTTAGGAAGATTTGATCTTTGTTCCATCTAGTGAAGTAGATTCCAATTCTGGTTAAGAGAAGACTGAAACTCCTATAGCTACAGGCCTAAGCCCCAAACTTCTACCGCTACCAGTCAAGCTTCTTTTGATATGGAGCTTTCCCTGGATTCTCTTGAGGTCGGGGTTGAAGAGTCTGGGTGCTCAACAATGGGTTAAGCCTTTAGCTATGGCTGTTGGGGCACAGCCCAAATCGGAATGTGACCAATGGAGGACACTAGAAGGAATGATTCTTAGAAGAATTGTTTCAAGCAAAAGGAATGGAAGGAGGAATAACTGCTGTAGACAAGGCATGCTCTGCTGGCTCCCTCTGGAGTATCTATACACCAAGATTCGTTTTTTAGAGACCACTTCTGGGAACTTTTTGTCAGTGCCTGCTTTGGTGTCTGTATATTCCAAAGATTGAATCTAAGGCTAGCTAACTGTCCCCATTCAAAGATTACCCAGTTAAAGTAGGAGGATCAGTAACATTAAGCTCCATCTCACAGCAGGACAGCCTGAACTAGAGGGACTAGATTATTTGTAGTGAGAGATAGGGAGAGATATTCTATTAGCTAGCCTATTTTAAGAGCTCTATGCATGTAAAATATTCTATTATATCTATATAAAATGTATGTCCATGTTAGGATATTAAGTTTGAGTCAACCTAATTAATATATTTGAAAATCTAAAAAAAAAAAAAAAGCTATCACCCAGATGACTGCAACTCTCTAAAAGTTAATTGTGATTTTCCCCCTTTTACTGGTTATAAGGTCTTGCACAACTTAACATTACAAGGGAAGAAAAAACACACCTTTTTCATATTGCTTGAAAATCCTATCTTGCATTGTTGTGTTGAAAGTGACTCAAGTGCCTGCTCATTCATATTCATTCCATAGATAGATGCAACATAGTTCATTCATATTCATTGTTTGCTTTTAGTAGGAAAAGGCGCCACTAGATTATTTTTTGTACTTTAGAAAATAGTTGTCAGGGCACTTTTATCACCGTAGATCTATTCAGAATAAATTTTTACAAATATATTACCTAATGGTTGGCTGATTGACCAATACAAATGTTCTGAGCTGATATAAGTTGGCATAGCAGGTAGTAGGTAAGAATTTAAAGTTGGCACTGAGTCTGTGCTGCAATGCAAGTAAACAAGGTTATGTTGGCACAAGATGAGTTAAGGAAAGAGGGTCACTACATAAGGATTTTTACCTGCTTTCATATTCTACTCTTGTCTGTGTTCTTTTATCTGTTGCCCCCTATATAGCTGAACTGCATACTGTTTTGCACTGAATCAGGATAGTTTGTCTTGTTCTTTATATCCAGTTTCTATATTTCTTATGAAGATTCTCTGGTAGATTGTTGGTGCAGAAAATCCGGTTTTGATGTCTGCAGCTGAGCAGATATTTGGTGCTGGTGGGAAGAGAATGCGACCAGCTCTGGTCTTTCTTGTGTCAAGAGCCACAACTGAAGTAGTAGGGTTGAAGTAAGTTTTACCCAGTATTTAAGAGCTTTGTACGGTGCTGAGTGGAATAGAAAACTTATATGGCGTTGCTGCTTTGCAGAGAACTTACAATTGAACATCGACGTTTAGCAGAGATTATTGAGATGATCCACACTGCAAGTTTAATACATGACGATGTATTGGATGAAAGTGACATGCGAAGAGGTAGGATTTTGAATTTTACATTGAAGCAACTTGAATTAATGTCACTTTATCATTCATCAACACATGCTTATTAAAGAACCCAAGCTATTTTAAAACTTCCAAAGTATACTAGTATCTAATGTTGCTCCAAGCGCCAACACCCCCTTTACAGTTTGCATGCTGTGTACTTCATATTTGTGAAGTGCTGAGGTCTTTGTTGCTGTGCAATTGTAACAGATTATCAACCTCTATTTGGTTATTGTAATCTGCTTGCAGATATTCTTGTACATTATGCTTTATTGGAAGAGTTCTTGATCAGGTCATTAGCATTATAATCTCTATTGGATTAGTTCTTGTGGTTTACTACAACTAGAAGATCAGCTTATAGAACATTGATTATAATTCTGCTCCCTGCATTAGCTTCATTTGGAGGATTTTAAATGAGTACTTTAGACATATGCACAGAGTTGAATATAACGGCTCTCTGAAATGTATCTATGGATTATAAGTTTTAGTTTCATTTGCCCTGTTTAGAGTTTTACAGGATCAGTTCAAGGCTGAATAGAAGGATTCTAGTAAATGGATGGCCAACAGGTCACATATAGTTAGACCTAGTCAACTTTAGCCGTGAGATGGCAAATTTGATTTTGTAAAGCCAACCTTCAATTGTTCAGCCTTGTTGACGTGAAATCCTATTCCCCTTTTAAATAGGCAACTGAATTTATCTATTATTCTTCCAATTAAGGATTTTGAAGCAACCTTTGATTGTATGGACTTGTACACTGTATTGTATGAAGATCTAATGTGCTATGTATCCCTTCTTTCTTAAAAGCCTATAAAACTAGTGGGACTGTGAAGAGATACATCACTGTATCAGAGAGTATGTCATAGATGAGTGGAGGCTCAAGTCTTCTTTCACTGTAACTCGCTATGCTAGAGCTTATTCACTGGAAGATGAGCTTGAATGTGCACATCCAAAGAGATGTAATGCACTGCTTTAGCTGTTGAATGAATTGCTACCTAAGCAGAGAGTAGAGACTGAAGGAAATGTACTAACAAGTAATGACTGCTATTGACTGCATCATCTTTGTAGCTCTTATTGATCGCATCAACTAGAGTAGGAAAATGAAATATTTAGTACACACTTTGTTGTATTTTGCATTTCATTCTGTTTTTCGTTTCTTAATTTCACTATGGGCCAACTGTAAGATCTTCTCTGACTTTCAGTTCACTGATGCTAATTTGCAGGGAAGGAAACAGTTCATCAACTCTATGGTACAAGGGTAGCAGTACTGGCTGGGGATTTTATGTTTGCTCAGTCATCATGGTACCTAGCAAATCTTGAAAATATTGAAGTCATTAAGCTTATCAGCCAGGTCGGTTTGCAACTTCATTCTGTATATCCGAGTAGTAATAGTCCAGTCCGGTGTTTGATATATAATATTTGAGTTTCTGCACTTCGCTATATATAAGTATTTAGTTCTACAAATTGAATTCTGAGCAACAGGAATGGGGTAAAGGTGGTGTTATTCTAGTGAATAAAAGTTGATTTACACTTATACTTGCTCGACAGCAGGTTATTAAGGATTTTGCGAGTGGTGAAATAAAGCAGGCATCTAGCTTATTCGACTGTGATGTTGAACTTGAGGAGTATTTGATCAAGAGCTATTACAAGACGGCCTCCTTAATTGCTGCTAGTACCAAAGGAGCTGCTATTTTTAGTGGGGTGGACAATAGTGTTTCAATGCAAATGTATGAATATGGCAAGAATCTTGGTCTATCCTTCCAAGTTGTGGATGACATATTAGATTTTACACAGTCAGCAGAGCAGCTGGGGAAACCAGCTGGAAGCGACCTGGCTACGGGGAACCTGACTGCTCCAGTAATATTTGCTCTAGAAGAATCACCAAAACTAAGAGAAATAATCGAGTCTGAATTCTGTGAGAGTGGTTCCCTTGATGAAGCTGTTGAGTTGGTTAAGAACAGTGGGGGCATTGAAAGGGCACAAGAATTGGCAAAAGAGAAAGCTGATCTTGCAATTCAGAGTCTCAGATGTCTTCCTCGGGGCTCCTATCAATCAGCTCTGGAGGGAATGGTGCTGTACAATCTCGAACGGATTCATTAGCATTTGTTGATCAAAAAGATTAATAATTACCGAGAACTGTAGAGCACTATAGCGAAAATACTATGTAACAAGCCTCTACGGGTGCCAGAAATTAAAATAGACAGGTCCTGCGGAAGAGAAGCTGCTGGAGATTCATTCTATATTCTTTAAGCTACTATACCAGCTAATAATACCGTATATTCAGTTACAGATTGATCACAGTGGCCGCAGAAAAATCACTTTCTACTATTGCCGTAGAATAAAGAATTTTGAGGCCATCTTGTTGACTGTATTATAGTTTTTTGTTACTTCTTTCTGTATTCCGCAAATTGTTTTTTGCACTTGTAGCGGACGACATTGTGAAGGATCATTTCCAAAGAAAACAGAAATATATTGAAAGCATCATAATACTCTTGTGCTTGTTAAAGATGCTTGGAATTCCTTGGAATGGAAAGGATGTACCACATCAATAGCCCTGCACTTAGACATGGTAACGGTTCGGTTCGAATCATAAATCGAATCGAAATCAAACCGTTAAAAAACCGAATTGAAATCATTAAAATCGTAACCTTGATCAAACCGGACCGTAATTGGTTACCTACGGGTTGGTTATGGTTTAAGATATCATGAAACCGGAATCGACAATTAATCGTGAAACCAACGATTTTACATTTTTCCTAATAAATTTGGATTGGGTAAAAAAAACAAAAAAATTTAAATAAAAAAACCAATTTTATATAGGATGGACAGTAGCTATTGGACTGAAAAATGAAAAAAAAAATTAAGCCTAATAATTTTTAATTTTTGGACTTAATATATATATATATATATATATATTGAGAATGTGACAAACGGTCACATTTTTGTGACCGTTTGTCACAACTCAACGATCACAAAAAGTGACCGTTTATAGAACGGTCACAAATTGTGACCGTTCTCTATTTTTTTTTCTCTCTTTTCTTTTCTATAAATATCCTCTCACTCTTAATTTTTTTTCATTCTTGGCACAGCTTCAATCTCTCATTCTCTCTCAATCTCTTAAACTCTTAAGTCTAAAATTCTCAATACTATCCTATAATATTTTTTATACTCCAAATACTTCTTAACTTTTTACATTTCTATTGTTTTTGCTTCTCAATCTTCCTCTTTATTTCGATGTATCGATAAAAAAAAAATAAAGAAGAAATGGCTAAAATGATATGTGTTGATCATTTATCTTTTAGTTTTGGTCAAAAAATAGGTTTTAGTGATTATTGTTTTGACGCTTTGAATCCTCGCTTTCAAACAAGTTGAAAGACATTCTTTAAAAAAAACAGTTATAAAATTATATAGAGATGAAAAAAGAGAATTAACCGTATTATTTACAAATTTGAATGGTCGTGTTTCTATATGTTCCGATATATGGTCGAAACAATGGCAAACTCACTCTTTTATGGGTGTAACTTGTCATTGGATTGATAATGAATGGCACATGCAAAAACGTCTTCTTGCATATAGAGTTTTTGATGATAAACATACCGCTCAAAATATATATAAAATACTAAAAAGGATTTTAGATGAATATGTTTTACCTTTAAGAATATTTTTAATTTCTTTTGAAAATGTTAGTTCTAATGATGCTTCAGTAGAGTCTTTAAGAGAACTTTGTCAACCCTATCTTGGAGGTAAGTTTTTCCATATTAGATGCGTATCTCATGTTTTAAATTTATACGTGCAATCTAGTTTGGAATATCTTAAAGATATTGTTAGGCCAATTAAAGCTCTTGCTAAATATTTATGGACGCATCCCCAAAAGATGAAATCATGGGGAAAGTTTTGCAAAGAAAGAAACAAAAAACCAAGACGATTTTCAAAAGATATTCCAACTCGTTGGAATTCAACTTATGACTTACTTAGGCGAGTCATTTGAATATCAAGATTTATTATGCTCATTTTTTTTTTCGGAAAATATTGATTTTGTTTTTATTTGTCAAAATGATTTTGATATTTGCGAACCACTTTTGGAACTTTTAAGTGTTTTTAACAATGCAACATACACTTTTAGTGTCGTTTATCAACCAATTTCACATTTATTTATGATTGAAGCAATTAATATTGTTGAAGCTTTTAATCATGTAGAACAAGATATGCCAACTTTACATGTTCGTTGTTCAAATAATGAAACAAAAATGGTTAAGTTATTATGAAACAATTTCACCTATTTATCTTGTTGCTTTAGTCTTTGATCCTAGATTTAAAATGAAAGGTCTTTCTCGCTGTTTTAATACTTACTATAAGTATTTGCAATTATTTGATAAAAATGTAGAAATAGAAACTCGCTTTTATTATAAAACGAAGTTAGAGATTTATATATTGAAATGTACTTAATCGTGCGTGATCAACATGCTAGTTCATTTTTACCACTTGTGCCACAATTATCATCAAATAGCCAACGTGTTAGAGCTAGGTTATCTTATGGCCATGGAAAGGACAAAAAGGCCAAGAGGATCATCGAGCTCCATTTCCGAGCTTGATATTTATCTAATAACTATGTTTGAGTTTGGTGATAGCAATGCGAGTGTAGATTTTGAAGTAATTGATTGGTGGAAAAGACATGCGAGCACCTTTCCGGTCTTGTCCATAATAGCTAGACAAATACTTGCTGTGCCGGCTTCAACAACGACTCGTTGAAAGAGCATTTAGCTGGAGGTAATATTTTGGATGATAGGCGATCACAATTGGCTCTCGAGTCACTTGAAGCCCAAGTATGCGTGGATGATTAGATAAGAGCCGACAAGAGAACACAATAACAAAATGATTTCAATGAAGAAAGTATGGATTTAACACCCGAAGGCATAACAACGAAACTTTTGAAGTCGGAACTTCCGGTCAAGAAAGTAACTAGGCGTAACTATATAGAACATAGATGTAATTTGTAAAGGGGTAATTTGAAATGTAAAAGAGAACTATGTAAGCTTTGATTCCTCTAAACCTCAAGAGGATACGTAGGAAGCTTAATTTTTGTAGTGTTTACAAAAATTAAGTTCAAGCTCTTCTTTATTTATTTCTTTTTTTTCTTTGATTTATTGTGTGAAATACATTATAATGTAAAAAATATTATAATATTTATACATTATGCAAAAAAGAAGTTTTTTCATTTCAATGTTAATGTTGAGAAAAAATGTTCGATTTTTTTTATTTTTCATTTAATAAAAAAACCGTTAAATCGTCGGTTTTACGAGTTTCAAACCGAAACCGAAACCATCCATAGAAGGTTTGGTTAAGGTTTCACCTTTTGGTGAAACCTTAACCGGCGGTTTCTACACCGAAACCGACGGTTCGAGAACCGTTACCATGACTACTCGCACTAACCTAATTACCCGTCCGTTGTGGCGATTAACTTTATAAAATCACTTTGAATATTTTAAATAATTTTTAAAATCTAGGTGAAAGAAATCAAAATCAATCCATGTTAATTTTGATTTAATGGCAAATGTTGTTCCTATTCTATTGCAATTTGGCATTTCAAGCCCATAGTATCAAATTGTGTAAATTGAACTTCAAAGTATTGAAGATTAGATAAATATAATTCAAATTGTTCAATCTCCGTTGTATAATGTTCAATTGAGTTGATTCGTTAATGAAAATGTCAAAAAAATATCGTTTTGGCATTCTCCTATTAATTATGTTACTAAAAGCTCCGAATTATTAAATCGCAACGAACGAGGATAAAATTGCCATTAAACCTATTAATTTTAGAAATTTTTAAAATCAACCAATACTAATTTTAGAAGTTTTGAAATTTAATGTGTTTTTTAGTATTTAATATTATTTGTGTTTTTATTTTTATTTTTAAATATATTTTATGAATATATTTGATTTTGATGCAAATTTTTTTAGAAAAGTTCATGATTAGGGGGTTAAAAATATTAAAATTTTTTTTTTTAAAAAAATATAATCAATCGTAGAATGCCCAAACAACGTCGTTTTGACATTCCAAATAACGAGTTCATCGGGTTAATCGTTACTCGTAATAGAAATTGGGCAATTTGGATCACATTTGTCCAATTTTAAATACTTTGGAGTTCAAATTATGCGATTTAATATTATTGACTCGAAATTGCCAAATCTCAATAGAATAAGGAAAAATTTGTCATTAAACCTATTAATTTTAGAAATTTTTAAAATCAATCAACATTATTTTTAGAAATTTTGAAGTTTAATATGTGTTTTTTAGTATTTAATATTATTTGAATAGAATGAAGACAAAATTTACCATTAAACCTATTAATTTTAGAAATTTTTAAAATCAATCAACATTAATTTTAGAAATTTTGAAGTTAATATTTTTTTTTAGTATTTAATATTATTTGTGTTTTATTTTTAAATTTGAATATATTTTATGAATATATTTGATTTTCATAAAAAAAAAAGTTTAAGATCAAGGGGTCAAAAATATTTTTAAAATGTTTTTTTTTTTAAAAAAATATAACTAATAGTGGAATGCCAAAATGACATCGTTTTGATATTTAAGTAATGATCAACCGAATTGACGATTACATATAACCGAGATTAGGCAATTTGGATCGCATTTGTCCAATCTCCAATACTTTGGTCGTTTAAATTACGCGATTTAGTACTAGGGATCCGAAATTACCAAATCGCAATAGAATGAGGGCAAAATTCGCTATTAAACATATTAATTTTAGAAATTTTTAAAATAAATCAATATTAATTTTAGAAAATTTGAAATTTAATGTGTTTTTTAGTATTTAATATTATTTGTTTTTTATTTTTAAATTTAAATATATATTTTTAATATATTTGATTTTATTCAAAAAACAATTAAAAAGTTCAAGATTAGTGGGTTAAAAATCTTTTTAAATTTTATTTTAAAATAATTAACTTTTAGCGGCATTTGGCCATCAAAATCTTAATGAAAAATTGGGCGCTGTCGGATTTGGCCTCCCAAACACTATTTTGCCACCATTTTTAGTTTTTTTTTTTTTAAAAAAAAAAACTCAAATTCATGTTAATACCCTCCACAAAACCATTTCCAACCTCAAAAACTTTTATAATCCACTTTAAATGGCATTAAATTGAAATCAAAGTTTTGATTGGAAAATATATCTCAGCTTTTATTTCTATTTTCTTGCTATGGATGAGTTTTTTATAAACATCAATCAATTCAACTCAATTATGCGATCTTTTTGGCATGTTTATTAATCAAAATAATTGTTGGAAAAGTTATTGACGTTATTTTCTTTCTCTTGTCTTCTCTCCTCAATTTTTGCCCTTCCTCTCTCCAAAAATAGAACTAGGGACTAAAATTTAAGACAAATAAAGTTCAGAAACCACTTTATACAAATTCCAAACACCAAAAACTAAAACAAATATATATTATAAAAAATCATTTAAATTATTTACAAAAACAGCGTAGTTTCATGTTAAAACAGCTTAAAACAACGTTGTTGTGATTTTGGTGAACAATATAGAAGATTATTTTTTAAAAAATCTATTTTTTTTTAATTGGGCAAATTATAAATCATTCCCTCTAGTTTAAAATAATAATAATAATAATTAGTCCCTTTTGTTTCAAAAGTAATTATTTAGTTACCACATTTTTAATTTTATTGTAACTTAACCATTTTCACTCTTTTTTATTTTATTTTAAGAGATAGACAAAATAAGTAAAAAAATATGAAAGGATTGTGAAAAAAGATAATATTTTATAAAATAAAATAATATTAAATTAAGCATGATAAACACTAATTAAAAAATTATTTTTTGAAACAAAATGAACTAATTAATTTATTTCTTGAAAATAAATGGACTAAAGTCATTAATTTATTTATTGTTAAAAAAAAAACTATATCAAGTTTCAAGCACCATTAATTAATTAAACTTTGAGTCAAGTTGGCCGTTATTATTATTATTATTTTTTTCTAAAGTCATTCCAACATAAAAATCATGGCTATAAGTGGCGTTACAATTTTACTCTCTATTTCGATTTCTCAAAAAAAGAAAACCTCTTTATTTTAATCAATAACATAACCCTTTTCAGTTGGAAATTAATTTGACATTTTTCAACCCAAAATGCTTTTCTCGAATATTCATGTCTTAGAAACTAAATAATAACGTTGCATTTTTCTTGTAAACAAGTATATTGTCTTTTTAATTTATTGCTAAAGTTAATGTAAAAAAGAAAAGACTGAACGATTATATTTTTTTAATTTTTTACACTATAAAATAAGAATAATAATTAAAAAAAAATATTGACGGAAACTGTGAAATTTTTAGGGACTCAGATGTGATAAAGTAAATTAAAACTAGTCCTCTAGATGAGTTAAGTTTTTATGTGTATAAGGAGATCGATCATGGGTGTAAATTCATCATCTCAAATATTTGTTGCTTTCTATATCAATAACATCAAAAATATTTTTAAATTAACTTATATAGAATCATTATTCTTGGTAAGGACACAATCCATAAAAAAGAATTTAATAAATGCTTTGGATAATGAGTCAATATTTGAATTAAAAAAAGAAAAAAAATACCGTCTTAACCAATAAACTCAACTCCTTCAGATTCTAACTACGTACTCCTAATTGCCTATTAAAAACGGAATTTTTATTTTATTTATTTTATGCATAGAGGGGCAACACTGCCATTTGGTCTATTTAATGCCGAATTCCCTCTCTCTCGACTCTACTCTGCGAGTCCTCCGCCGTTTCTTAACCTTTTCTTTCTCCCCAATTAACGCCACCATGGCAGCACCATTTATAAGGGAAAAGCAGGCGCTCAGATTCCCCAAATTTCTTTAAGAAATTGTTATTATTGAATTCCATGAGTGCATGGAGAAGCATAGCGAAAGAAGCATTCACCCAAGCTTCCATAGTCGCCAAGTTCCTCGGTTTCCTTCACTTCACCAACAACTACCTCTTCTCTCCCACTCTCGTACGTCTTCTTCTTCTTACTCTGGTTTTCTTTTCTTTTTGGGAATCTATACTTGATTCATCATCATCCTGCGGGTGCAGGTTTACGGCCCTAGCATGCTCCCAACGCTGAATCTATCGGGTGATGTCTTATTAGTGGAGCACGTGTCTCACCGGCTCGAAAAGGTGGGTCCAGGTGATTTGGTGCTGGTTCGGTCACCTCTAGATCCTTCTAAGATTCTCAGTAAACGTGTTGTGGGCATGGAGGGTGATCAAATCACTTTCTTGCCTGAACCCTCTGTTACTGACACCTGTCGCACCATCCTGGTAGGACAGACTCTGAATATCATGCATTACTTTTTTCTTTTTTCTCTCTCTCATGGTTATTCTTGTTGTTAGTAATTTTTTGGTTGAAGCATGAATTTTTTTTATTTATTTAAATTGATTACTTCTTTTTTTGGAATTTCGATTTTATGAATATTTGGTTTCATAGGTACCAAGGGGGCACATTTGGATTCAGGGAGATAATATGTATGCTTCCTGTGATTCACGGCATTTTGGGCCTGTTCCATATGGTCTTGTTCAAGGCAAAGTCTTTTTCAGGGTAACTGTTTCTGTACTGTTGCTCTTCTATTCAATTTGTAGGTTTTGGTCATTTCCATAATTACGTGCTCTCCCCAAAATGTGTGGCTGAATGCTATGCAATTCTTTCTTTTTTGTTGTGATGACAACTGTAGGAAAAACCAGGAACTTAGTTCCTTGTCCTTGAGATGCAATTTTTAAGTCCGTGTATGATTCAGATCAGTGCTGGTTCTTTCGATACATGGAGTGAGTTCATGGTAGTTAATCAGAGGATATTTGTTACTCATCTTTTTTGAACTAGCTCCTCAATTAGTGCAATGAGCTTGAGGTTTTATGGGGTTAAAGTTCAGGTTTCATTTCTTGGTTATATGCGTTGGATGCATGTGATTTAGTATTTTTTTTTAGGCTTCATTTCTAGATTCATTGATTGCTTGGTTGAACTGCTTTCGGATTTCCCTTCTCAGGATCCTACTTGTCAGGACCTATAAATAGGTTTATTTTTATTTGCTTATTAATACATCTGTTTTGTAGATGTGGATTGTAATTTTCAAATGGATGGGATTTGAGTCTTTCAGGGGTCTAGGAGGACACTATAATGGCTATCCTGCTTATTACTATCTCTGATAAACTTTATTTCTTTTTGGGTATTCTTCAACATTACACGACAGAGATATTGGTTAGTTACTCACTGTCTAATTCTTATTGTGAGTTACAAAACTTCTTTTCTAACACAAGATCCTATACGCATAAGGGCTTGACAATGAGAATCGTTCTCTTTTTCTCACATTGGGGTTGTTTGCTCTTTTCTAGTTTCTCCTTTTGCTTTGCTATACGATTGTCAAAGTCTCATATAATTCCATGTTCCTTGAAGGCCTCTCGAAAAAAATGGCTTTGCATATCTGTTTCGGAGTATATGTTTCCAAACCTTGTGATGTTCTATATTCTTAAGTTAGAATGGCAACTATGTTCCCTGAGCATCACTTGAAGTTGCAAACAGTCGAGTTGCATGGCTGTTAACTCTTGGATTCAATTATTGCCAATGTCAAATGAAGTGATTTTTTTATTTTATTATATTGGGTTCATAGTGTGGGTCCTAATCACCGGATGGCAAAAGATTCTTTCAAGTTAGGATTCAAAATATCATTAATGGTTCAGTTGATGATCGATACACAGTTTCTGTTTTTTCTTCCCTCTTTGATATTGGTCTCTCTTCTTTTTTTTTTTTTTTTGAATATTGGTAGTGTTAGTGAACCATTTTGTAATTTTTCTTTTTTTCTTTTTCGTCATTAGGTATGGCCACCTTCTAGCTTTGGATCTTTGGGTCAGTGACTAAAATGAAGAATATATATTTGAGGTATGTTTATTTCCACAGTTCCAGTGGACTATATTTAAATTGTTTGCTTGCTATCCATTTGTTATGCTGAGGAATCAAGGTGAAACTTGTTAATATGCTTTCTTGAGAATCATCGTAGCCTTTCAGAGCAGGGAATATGATGATTGGCAATTTTTTTATGATAATATATCTTCTTCAGATCTTAAGCTTTTCCACCTTCTGCAGTCTGCACAACAAGGTCGTGTTCTGAATTTCTAAAGAACATTAATCATGACTAGCAAGTAATTAGTATCTCTTTTTTTGGCCACGTCATCCCCAATTTGGAGCATTTTGTGCTATTGAGCATTTAAATAATACATGTCCTTTTCTTCTTCAATCATCTCTATCACCAAGTTTGTGAGATGAAATATAGAAGACTGGAAACCACAGTTGATGATTATGTCCTTGCGTGCCTGGATTGCAGTGAGCAGTCATTGCTAGCAACATAAATGATTCATGCTATGTTTGAATGCATTTTTCTTCCCATATGTGGTTCTGAGGTTCAGGAGGGGACTGGTAATGATCCCAGACTCTGTTATTTTTCCAGAAAAAAAATCTGATGATTACAGGTTTAAATGTCATGTCGTAACCAAAATTATGATCTAAATTACGAGTTCTTGAAGGGACCAAGTACTAACTTACTTTATTTTTATATTCATGGTCTCTTCTCTTGAAGTAGCATTGCTTTATAGGTTCTCCTTCGACAGCCATATTCATTTATTGTTGGTTACATTTTCTGTTGCTGAGTTGATGAGATGGGTGCTAAAATACAATACTGATGCTGTTATGTTTTGATTTTCAGGAATTCTGTGAAGCAGAGGAACCTATAAAGCCCAATTTTCTCAACGTGTACATTACAAGTCATTTGCTATTATGCATTATGGCAAGTTTTCCAACTGCCATTCCGTCGGGGATAAGACATGAATCAAACTCCCGGCATTATTTTTATGCACAATTTTTCAGAGAGACATAGGCGACGAGCATTGCAAAATGAATTAGATAGTCCCTCTAGTTTCAAAAATTAATTAATTAGTCCCTTGACCTATTTTGACCATGCCTAATTTAACATTATTTTGTTCCAAAAATATATATTATTTTCTCATCAAGCTTTTCCATGTTATTTACTTCTGTTTTTCCCTTTTCTATTTCTTTGAAAAAAAAATGAAAAAGAACATGAAATAGATGAAAATGACTAATTTATTAGTTCTGGAAACTAGAGGGATTATTTGATTTATTTTGCAAAATTAAAGGGATTAATTTATAATGTACTCCCATACACTTTTTTTAGGCATGCAACATAAGGAGGCAGGAGTTAGTAATGCTCTTAAAAATTTATGTTCTATGGTTCATGATTTTCGCTTTTCAGTTGCACGCATCTAATTTGAAATTGAAAAAGAACATGAAATGGATGAAAATGACTAATTTATTAGTTTTTGAAACTAGAGGGATTATTTAATTTATTTTACAAAATTAAAGGGATTAATTTATAATGTACTCCTGTACACTGTGTTTTCATTTTGACAGAAGGCAGGAGCTAATAACGTTCTTAAAAATTTATTTTATATGGTTCATGGTTTTCACTTTGAAGTTGCACATGGAATTTGAATTCAGTTGCACGCATTTAATTTGAAATTCATCCAAATTGGACGATGCTGAAGCTGTTATGGTAGCCCCAAGAAAAAAAATTAAACATCTATTTGCAATTAGGATATTTGCTCTATAAATATATCAATTTTTAATGTTTTCTTAATTGAATATATGAATTTTAAATTTTTGTATTTGAGTATATTAATTTTGTTAAAACTACCAAGTATTTTTAGTTCAAATTCTATTCATTTCTCTTTCATTTGGTGATATTTTTTTTAAAAAAAATTACTAAATTATGATTTTATATTTTCAACTTTCCTTCCTGAATTATTTTACATTTTTCTTCTTATTGTATAGCAAATATCTAAATTATCTTTATATTCAAAAAGATAGAAAATGACAATAATTTGAAAGAAAAAGTTTCTTCTAAAAACGAGAAGATAAAATTATAATTTTATAATTTTGATAAAATGATGAAGCAGAGTTAAACATAAATACTTAATGTTATATTTAATACTTGATTGATAGTTTTATAAAAATTAATATACTCAAAAGAAAACATCAAAATTTATATACTTGATTAAAAAAATGTTAAAATTTGGTGTACTTTATAATGTAATTATTCTATTTAAAATTTATAACTTTTTTTTTCACTTCAATCTAAGAAAAAAAAAGTTTTTATTTCTGAAAATTCTATAAAATTTACTATATAAAATTCCACAATTGGGTTAACTTCACAGTTTAAAATTCCACAACGTAGTTTTTAAGTTCTAAATTTGTTCATTGAAAATATTAAATAACTAAAAATCATGTTTTCTTTTACTTTAATTTTTTGTTTCTCTCACCTTTTGAATCCTCATATATATTATATTATATTATCTCACCAAAAAAAAATTGAGGAAAAAAAAAGAATCTGAAAGGTAAATTAATGAAAGTACAGGGGCAAAATGAGAAACAACCTGTTGGAGGGTAATGGTAAGATAGACTATTCATCCTCAGCCGAACTAGCTATAAAAGGAATAGCAGTAGGGTTATGGTTCCCATTGCCTTTGAAGAACAGAGCGTGAGTCTCTCGTGCCGCTCTTGTTCCGTTGCGGGCATACAGCAAAACTCTTAATTCTTTTCTCTGTTTATTGCAAGCTGCTTTTCTCTCTTGCAATTACATGAAAGGTCTTATACATGATCTCCTCTATCTATACATGTACTTTTTTTTTTTTTTTTTAATTTGAATTCTTCCATTTGGGTTGAATTTTTCTGTAAATTTTCCTTTGTTTTTCTTTCCAAAATCGGCCGATCCAATGGGCTCTCGCTCTAAAAATGTTAGAAACGCGTGAGAGGTCAATTTCACCCGGCCTAGATTTGATTAAAGGGGCAACCTCAAGGTTTTACATGTTTTTTTTAATCATGTTTTAATTCAGGTAACTGCCCTAAATCTCTGTTTTAATAATCTTCTCGTTAATCCAACGTTCGATTGTCTAGTTTCGTAGATGTTCAGCTCTTCAGTAAGTGATTCTTAGTCATTCTGTGACTAGCTAATTAAATTTTCACTTGAATGAAGTTAAGAGCAACAAAAGATTTCCCACTTTTTCATACGGTTTCCTTCGAGAAAAATATCTGTTCCAAGGCTTTTCCTGCCTAAAGTAAGGGTTAAAATTACCAAAATCTTAAACTTGGAGGACCATTTGTGTAGTTTACTCAAGTGGAGTCTTTACCCCGTCTTGTCTAACCTTAAATTCTAAAGTCTAAACTACTCACTACCCTAACAAGTTGCTAAGATTTGACTTTGGCATTAAGATGGAGATTGGAAATTAACATAAAGATGGATGGGTGAAATTAAAGAAATGAATCTCCGCAAAGAGGATGCGTCGTACATGGAAGAAATGTACGTAAATGTTTATAGCACAAAGATATTGACGACATTAGAGAGAGGAATGATCAAGGGTTAATGTCATCCATTTCGTAATGTCACCCTTGATATAATAATACATAAATTTTATTTATTCCAATTCATATTTGCACAGCCATTCCTTTGCCTTGCAAATTGAGCGATTACAGTGTTCCTCCAAGAGTTTATGCATACATCAAACGAGCACCATATTGTGGCCAAAGAGTTATCCTCGCTATTTGAGGGGCATGATTGTAAGAAGGTGAAACTGTGTCGAAGAATTTTTGCTAAAGCTATTTTTGACTTTGCATCAGGGAAAAGTTTTGTCCAATGCAAGTTCGAGTAACCCTCCCCAGATGGATGAATGAAAGCTGCAGGTGGATACAATCTTAGATCTTCATATATAATCATATGGTTACCTGTTACAAATGGAAATTTATAGCAATATCGTGAGTGAACGTTTGTTTGGCACTATGATATTACACTTAAGTCAATCAGTTCAATGCTGATCTTGCTTCTGTTCTTAACATATTGGGGTGAGGTTACTTGATAGGCGTACCAAAGTGAAAGACGTAAAGGTGTAAAAATTCCAGCCCCAGTCCGAGTGTGTTGTTATTCTATCTATTGTCAAATATAATTAACCAAGAAGTGCAAACAATGGGTGTTGAAATTATATGCAAGACTATGGTTGTTCCATTTTGCAGTTCTCAAAGAAGGAAGCATATATAGGATGAGTAGTTGCTTACAACCTTGAGTTGATTCAGTCCATCATAATCCGGTTTCTTGTTGCCAAAAACTTGCAAAACCTCTTCTCTAGCACGTAGTGGAATACTTGCTCAACAAAACCATGGTCCAGCCAGCAAATTTGAGATGCTCTTATGCCCAGCAAGCCCAGTACCCATCCCAACATTCTTGTTATTAAGCCCATGCTCGAGTTTCTCTTAAATTAGACTCCATAAGTATACCTAATAAGTCAGCATTTACAGCTTGGCCTGCTGCAGCTTCCGTTGCTTTCTCCCGTTTCTTAATAATACCTTCAAGTAAAATTTGTTTTTCTTTGTCAACTTCTTTTATTCTCTTATTAATCGTCCTTCTTATTTGTCTTCGTTGGCAAATATCTATTTAGAATCATGAAATATAGTTTACAAGAAATGAAACTTGTGATAAATTTCATTAAATTTCTTATATCATAGAGTACGTAATTCGTTATGTAATACTATGAAATTTTGGTCAAACGGAAAAATCGTCTCAACTCTATTTATTTATTTATTTCAGTTCGAAATTTTTTTTAATCAGCAATTCAGTCATGCTCTTCTATCCACTAATTATTGTATATCTAAAAGAGGCAAGGTTCTGATTGTTCATAATTTTGTTCACATCTTTTCTTATTTTTTATATATAAGTTTTATGATTCAAGTACAAGAAAGCTTTTGTAGTCCAACGGTTAAGAAATTTAAGCCCATGCTATGTTTTTTATCCGAGTTTAAATCCTAGTGAGTGCATTATGCTATGTTTTTTTTTTTTTTTTTTTTCTTCTGTTTCAAATATATATATATATATATATTATTTTTTTATTAAATTAAGCGTTAAAATTTTAAAAAATCAATCATTACTTTTTTCCAAACAAAGTGATAATTATATAACACTACTCATGCCTTTTTTTCCTTTGTTTTTTTCATCAATTTATGTTCTTTTTTTTATTTGATTAGGTGTTAAATTGTTTTTTTAAAAAATCAATCGTTATTTTTTTCACACAAAATGATGATTATGTAATAAATACAATATTTTTTTAATTTTAGAATAAATATAAAGCACTCTTATTTTTTTAAAATTGATTTTTTTGATAAAAATTTTCATCAAGTTAATTCTTATTCTTATTTTTTATAATTTTATTTATTGATAAATATGGCTTATTTTATCTATATATGGATTCGAATAAGTTTTTTTAATAGATGTTTCTATTTGCTTCGTTCTTATATAATCAAATTTTTAAAATTGAATATATTTATTTATTTATTTTTTTTTGCATAATCAATTTTATAGTTTTTACTGCACTCGTTAACTTAAATATACATTTTACCATTTAATTTTTTAAAATATTTTTTTAATTTATTTTATACATTATCACCTATTGAATACGATCAAGATATATAAAAAATAATAACGTTAGAGTCATTGATTTTATTAGAAATCAACTATGCATCTATACACACGATACCAACTATTCACGTTTTTTTTAATATTTAAAATGATTTTTTAAATAAAATAATTGAAATAATATTTTAGAATAACCGCCTAATAATTCAAATACAATTTGTATACTAATATTATTCATTATTTTGTAAATGAATATATATAAATCAAATGTATATATTTTAAAAAATAATTTTTTCATTAGTAAAAAAGTTTTATTTGTTAATTTTCATACTAGTTTCTATACTAATTATTGCTTTATTTCTTCGATGCAATGTAATGAAAAAACCATTAAGATTTTTTTTAGAATTTTATATTAAAATTTATTTATTATGGGTTTTATTTAAGAATAAATGCATAAGAAAGAAAAAATAATATTTTTTGGACTTCAAAATTTATCTTTTATATTTAATTTAATATATTTTAATTAACTGATAACATAATATATGTTATCAAATTAAAATAAATATATTTAGTTCGATCTGCAATGTAGCGCAAGAATCCAAACTATTCATATATGTAAAATTCTTATCCACTTACTATTCATATGTATAAAATTATTATTCACTTGATGTCAATTTAAGTAATATTTGTGTGTCGTTTTTTGCATGTTTTTGGACATTAATATGCAAATTTAACACTTTTTTTCTATTTTTCACCCCTCATGCTGTAACATTATTTTTAATCCTTAGTTTTTATTTTTCTTTCACACACACACACACACACACACACACATATTATGTTTTTATATTTTAAAATTAACGGATACTTCGATTTATATTACTCTTATCATTTAAATTTTATTCTTTGAATTTATTATTTTTTATAAAAATTCTCACCCAATTAATATTTTATTTACTGATAAATATAATTTATTTTTCTCTATATTTAAATTTTAGAATAAAAATTTAAAACATGATTGTTTTTTCTTTTTTAAAAAGGTAAATTGGTATAATATATATCATGAATTCTTAGAATTTTTAAATGACGAGTTGCACATATAAATATATAATTATTTTATTCTAAAAAGTTAAAGCGTATTTCAAATAATTTATCTCACTTCATTAGATATGGTCAAGACATATAAAAACCTATTGAATCATTAATTTATTAAAAATTAACTACACATCTTCCAACATAATACAAAATATTTACTATAAATATATATTTTTTAATATTATAGAACCAATTTATTTGAAATAAAAAAGTTAATTTTTTTTTAAAGGAACCAACCAATTATTCAAATATATATTTTTATGCTAATTTTGCTGATTATTGTGTAAATAAATATATATAGACCTAATGCATATATTTGAAGAAAAAAAATCTTCTCACCAAGATTAAATAAGAATAAATTTTTATTTTTTCATTAGTTACTTTTTATACAAATTTATACATTAATTGTTTATTTTTTGATACATTCTTATAAACAAATATAATTTTAAAGTATTTTCTTTTGAATTCTTAATTAATATTTTAGATTTAAATTATTACAAATTTTTATTTAAGAATACCTAAATAAAGAAGAATAAATCATGTTTGTTAAACAAAAAATTTATGAAAAAAAACACAAAAATATATATAATAATTAAATAAAAAATTATAAAAAATTTAAATGATTTTGTTTTATCTACCTGTAGCGTTGTATGAATAATTTTAAAAATTAATCTTCTCATTAGCATTAAATAAGAATTTTTTTCATTTATTAATTTTTGTAAAAGTCACGTACGTTAATTATAACTTTATTTTTTAGAATACAATACTATAAAAATTATATTTCTATAGTTTTTTTAATTCTTGATTAATATTTTAGTTAAAATTATTATATTTTTTATTTTAAAATGAATCCATAAAGAAGAATGATTTATGTTTTTTAAGAAAACAATTCACTTGATGTCAATTTAAGTAATTTTTATGTGTCGTTTTTTGTATATTTTTGGACATTAATATGCAAATTTAACACTTTTTTCTATTTTTCATCCCTCCTCGTTGTAACATTTTTTTTAATCCTTAATTTTTTTCCCTTTCATTTTGACATAGCATATATATATATATATATCACACATATCACACACACGATCTTTTTATATTTTAAAATTAACATATACTTCAACTTATATTACTCTTATCAGTTAAATTTCATTCTTTGAATTTATCATTTTTTATGAAAATTCTCATCCAATTAATAGTTTATTTACCGATAAATATAATTTATTTTTCTTTATATTTGAATTTTAGAATAAAATTTTAAAACATGATTTTTTTTTTTGTTTTTAAAAAAGTAAATTGATATAATATATATCATGAATTCTTAGAAATTTTAAATGATAGTTGCACATATATAAATATATAATTATTTTATTCTAAAAAGTTAAAAATGTATTTCAAATAATTTGTTTCGAGTTCATTAGGTATGGTCAAGACATATAAAAAGCTATTGAATCATTAATTTTATTAAAAATTAACTACACATCTTCCAACATAACACAAATTATGTACTATGAATATATTTTTTTAACATTATAGAACCAATTTATTTGAAATTAAACAATTAAAAAAATTGTTTAAAGGAACCAACCAATTATTCAAATATAGTTTTTTATGCTAATTTTGTTGATATTTTGTAAAAAAAATATATAGACATAATGCATATACTTGAAAAAAAAAATCTTCTCACCAACATTAAATAAGAATAAATTTTTATTTTTTTATTGGTTACTTTTTATGCAAGTCTATACATTAATTGTAACTTTATTTTATTTTTTAATACATTCTTATAAACATATATAATTTTAAAGTATTTTTTTTTGAATTCTTAATTAATATTTTAGATTTAAATTATTATGAGTTTTTATTTAAGAATTCATAAATAAAGAAGAATAAATCATGTTTCTTAAGCAAAAAATTATGAAAAACATAAAATAAAAAATTATAATAATTAAATAAAAAATTATAAAAATTTTAAATGATTTTTTTCTATCTACCCGTAGTGTTGTATGGATAATTTTAAAAATTAATCTTCTCAATAGCATTAAACAATAATTTTTTTTTCATTTGTTAATTTTTATAAAAATCGTCTATTAATTATAACTTTATTTTTTAGAATAAAATACTATAAAAATATAGTTTTTTAGTTTTTTAATTCTTGATTAATATTTGAGTTAAAATTATTATATATTTTTTATTTTAAAATCAATCCATAAAGAAGAATGATTTTTTTTTTAAGAAAAAACATTAAAAAATTAATTAATTAAAAAATTAAAATTTTAAAATGATTTTTTTATCGCATTTGCAAGCATAGCGTGGGTAAATGACTAGTCTCCCTTTATACGTGAAAGTAAAATGATTAAAAAAAAACCCAAATTCAAATTAAAAATCCAAGATCTTTTGTTTTTGGCCTCCTTGTTTTTTCTTTTTATTCTCTCCTCCATTTTTTCATTCCCTTTCCCTTTTTCTCTCTTCTTTGTTCTTTCTCTCTCTCTTTCTTTTCTCTCTCCTTCCTTGTTTCTTTCCCTTTGCTTTCCTCGATTTCTTCTTTGTTCTCTCTTTTCTTTTCTTTTGTCTTTTTCTCTCTCACTTCTCTTTACCCTCTCAACCAAAACATCGAGCACAAAGTTTGTTTCTCCTTTTGATTTCACGAGTAGTAATTAATTTGATTAAAATTTTAGGTATTATATAATTTTTTTTCATGGAGTTTGTGTTTTTTTCCAGCCATTCTTGGTTGACGATGGTGGAGGAAGGAGGAGAAAGTCTGAAAGGTTAGCTTATGACTTGTGTGGCTTTTGTTTATCCTTTTCGACTCTAGTGAAAATTTTGTGTCAAGGGATTTAAAGAAAGTGGTTTGCAAGTTGAAGAAATTCATCTATCGATTTAAGCAAGTTCCATTAATGGTATTACAAATTTCATCAAGTTGCGAGTCTCGTTTGGTTTTAGATGAATGCAGTTGATGATGGTGTATACCACAAGTTTAGTGGGAGTAAACATATTTTTTTAGCGTTATATATTGATGACTTATTGTCGGCCGTAATGATATAGGCTTATTGCATGAAACCAAAAGATTTCTACCAAATAAATTTGAAATGAAAGATCTCGATGGTGTCTCTTTTGTATTGGGCATATAGATACATCGAGATCACTCTTAGTTTTCATAAAAAAACTATATCAAAAAGTTCTTAAAATATCCGGTATGTAGGATTATAAACTAAGAGACACCCTTGTCGCTAAGGAAGACAAATTCATTCTCGATCAATGCCCTAAGAATGATTTTAAAGTGAAAGAGATGCGAGAAGATTCTTTATGCATCAGTTGTGAAGAGTCAAATGTATGCTCGAGTGTGTATGCATTCGGATATTGCATACATGATTGGAAAAATATTTGAGTAATCTAGGAATAGACCATTGAAAATTAGCCAAATGGGTTATGTGATACTTAAAGAGAATTAAGGATAAAATGCTCATATATAGGAAATCGGATCGGTTATAGATCATTGGGTATTCGATTTCAATTTTATCGGATGTCAAGTTAGTCGGAGATCCACATCAAGCTATATCTACCTACTAGTTAGAAGAGTTATTTCTTAGAGGAGTGTTAGCAGACACTCATAGCTTCTTCCACCATAGAAGTAGAGTTTATAGCGTGTTATGATACTATAGATGGGTCGGCTATAGAGGGAAAATGTATAATTAGAGGATTAATGAAAGATACTACATGTAATGTAATTGTCGAGTTCTATAATTTTTATGAAGAGGATATGAATACAAAAGCTAAAATTCTTACTCTTCATAATGGTTTGGCTATATGTAAAGATTTGTTATTAGATTTGGTTCGGGGGAATTGGATTCTTGTATTGCTATTAATGCCATACTACATGTAATTTATGTTTCATGGTATTATATTTATCCTATTTGTCAATGTAGAACTTTGATGGCTTGATATTCTATTACTCATGTTTGGAGGGAGTAGAATATAGTAGCGAGATAGATTGACTAATGAGGTTTATAATCATGAAGGCTTTTGTAGATTTTTTATTTATGCTAATGTTTCTAATTCTATTAAAATAGCTTGTACGCATGGTAGATTAGGTCTTTACAATTATAGAAAGTAACACATTTGCTTTCTTTGAGGTTTAGGTCGCTTCTGTCCCCCTATTTAGATAAGGCTAGATTTGTCCTCTCTTGTAATTATTTTTTCCTGTAATAAAATTTGTCAAGATACCATCTCTGTTTTTTTAATTTTTATAAGTGTGTGTGTGTGTGTGTGTTATGAGACATCCAACCATGGTATATAGCCGCAGAATGATGCGGATCATTTAGGGAAGATGGTGAGTCGGCAAAGAAGTTGTGGAGCTGATAAATAGGCGGTTAGTTTGTTATGGGCTGGTAGTAATTAGTTAGCAATTAGTTTGTTACGGGTTGTTAGTAATTAGGAACAAAAAGGGAGGGAAAGGAATGTGAGAAATCGGTTGGTTAGCAATCCGAAATTTCTCCCTTCTAATCGTCGCTTCTTCTCTACAATTTCTTTTACTTCATTTCGTATTTCTTCCAATTCTTTACAAATTCATTCAATTCTTCCATATTCTTATTCTAAAAATTGGATCGCATCAAGTGGTATCAAAGCAAGTCTTGGCACTTGTGGAGTGTTGAATTTTGACATCAACGACGTAAATCCTAATCAAGTATTTCACCATTTTTTAGTTGAATGAGAGAAGCAATGTTCATAATCTTTGTCTTTGGTGTAGTGGTGAATATCATGGAGAAGTCGATTGCAAGAAGCCGGTTTGGACCAAATTAGTGTAATTGATGATGTTGATGGAGAAATTCTTTTCTATTTGAAAAATAATGCTATTGTGATCATTAATAATCCAACGTATCCGAACTCTCAATCATCAAATTCTTTAGATTGCTTGTTTAATGATAACGGGGCAAGCAATCCTCCAAAGTATTCAATAGTTACCGAAGTAAAAGATGAGCCGGATGTATTTTATGATGACAAGGGTCTCCTTATCGAAGATGAATTTCCCGCAAGGAAAGTTGAATTTGCAATGGATAAGCTTGGTGAGAATGCTTCAATCAATGAAATAATGGACTTTATCATTGCTGCTCAATTCTTATATGGAATTGAGCCGAATTTGTTGATGCTCGGCTTTTCTCGACATTGAGGAGGAGGGAAGGCTACATACACAATCTACCTACCGAAAATAGGTTTCACATTCTTCCAAAGCCACCGATTACCTTGGAAGATCTAACGCCAAGTATAAAGAAATGGTGGTCATCATGGGATGCAAGGAAGAAGTTAGTTTACGGAACAAGGAAGAAGTTAATCCGCCAACTCGGCTTTGATCCCGGAGGTTGTGACAACCTCGAGGACAAGGTTTCTTAGGGAGGGAGGTATTCATGCGGATCATTTAGGGAAGTCTGGTGAGTGGCAAGGAAGTTGTAGAGATGATAAATAGGTAGTTAGTTTGTCATGGGTTGTTAGTAATTAGTTAGCAATTAGTTTGTTACGGGTTGTTAGTAATTAGGAATAAAAAGGGAGGGAAAAGAACATGAGAAATCAATTGGTTAGCAATATGAAATTTCTCCCTTCGCTTCTGCTTCTTCTCTGTAATTTCTTCTACTTTCTTTTCGTATTTCTTCCAATTCTTTACAAATTCATTCAATTCTTCGGTGTTCTTCTTATTTTGGAAATTGGATCACATCATAGAATCTTATCACTTGGCTGCAAATTTTGGATGGTATATAAAGACCATTAATATTGTTTTGTGACAATAATTAATAGTGTGCTATAGTCCAACAACAACGAAAGCTCATCAAAGTCAAAATATATAGACATCAAGTTCCTAATTGTTAAAGAAAGAGTTTAGAGTGGAAAAACGTCTATAAAACATATTGACACAAACCTCATGGTTGTTGATCCCTTACTAAGGGTTTACCACCTAAGGTCTTTCATAAGCACATTACTCATATGGGTGTTGTATTATTTGATGATATATTGGTTTAGTGAGAGTTTGTATTTAGATGCTTTTTAGTTGTAGATACATTTTATAGATATTTTCTATAAAATAAAGTATATGATTTATTTACACTCCGAACATATTTATTGTGATCTCACTAAAGAATAGAGTTGGACCAATTGAAAATAGATATGTTTAGATCACATTACATATAATTTTCATGCTACACATCCATTCTTGATCTATGTCATAGTTATATTGATATAAGCGACCATTGATGGATTTGGTTATGGAAAACGCTTTGATGCTATATTGATATGATTAATAGACTAAGTTTAAAGATGTCTTTAGTAACGATAATAATTTTAAAAGCTCATAAGGTTATTTTATAATGTACAATTACAAAGTAACATAAATTGTCTAAATGGGAGATTGTCGGAAAATAATTAATATGTGGGTCAAATATTTTATTAATTATGTGTTATAGGCCATCATACAAGAATTAGTTTGTTTAAAGTGATCTAGTAAGATTTTAAGTTTTGGGCTTAATGTGTATAGATACTAAAGTCTAATTTCTATTTTTATGATGGATCAAAATAAGACCTAAAGACAATTATTATATATATAGGGTTATAGTCACCAAGTCATGCATAGGGTTTTTTATTCATTCGGACATCCCATCACTAGATAGAACATAAGGGAAAATTTTTCTTCTCTTAAAATAATCATATAGACTTGGAAGATCAAGAATTTCAAAAACCATAATCAAGTCTATTCCTATAGATTCAAGTATGCTTTCGTTTTAGTTCCTTTTCTTTGATGATTTAATATGAGAACTTGATTTTGATGAAAGTTTCATCATCTTTAGGGAATTATTTCACATCTTCTGTTTGAACTTTGATTACACGCTTGTTAGCTACTTGATTTATATCTTGCTAGTATTGCTTGCTCCTCCTTCCATGCCTCTCATTATTAACATCATTTTTATTTGATTAGTTGACCATTTTTTATACAAATTACAATACTAGCTCTCTATATCTTGATTAACCTATCGACTAATTATCAAATAAGCTTTTAAGAACCCTCCACACAATCTAAGATTCATATTTTTCAAAAATTTATAACAATAACACTAGAATGAAGTTGATACATCACTAAATTGTTTCTTTAAAATAAATCAAAACTATCAATAAATTAATATTTAGAAGAAAAAATAGTTTAAGTAATAAGGATTTAGTGGTTAATAATTTATTATCATTTTGTTATATTAATTTTCGATTGATTATTTTTGGTTTCAAAATTGATAATAATTCTTCAACAAGTCCGAAAAAAATGATTGCATGTTCTTTTCAATTAGCACACACATATCAAATAATTTATCACTTGATCTTATTATTTTTTTTCTATGTAAATTTATAATTAAATTTCAAATAATCGAAATTGATATTCAAAATTATGTCACATATGGAAAAAAAAATCAAGTTGAGAATAATGGAGTTTTTAATCAATTTTTAAAGATTTATTAATTAAAATTAAACACCCTTCTAATATAGATCGTTTGAGCACCATTTTGATTGATGCCAAATCTTGTCTTCTTCTAATTAGATTTTTACATCATATGAAGAATTAATGGCATGTTTTTTTTTAATATCAAAATCAAAAATATTCATTATATAAGGTTAAGAATGAAAACACATGATATTAAATAGTACAACATATTTATTAAATACAAATTTTTTAAAATTAATGTTGATTCACTTAGATTTTTAAAATTTATTAAAATATTACAACTGATCTTATAAAGTTACTCGTGACGATGGGTGAATAATTATGCTAACGAAACAAACTAAACGCGGACAAGCTTTCTTCATTCAAAATAAGCTTTTTTGAAGTTTTAGCAACTTATAAGGGCCTTTTAGACATTTCGATTTGTTTTTAATTGTTTTATTTTTTTTTTCATTTTAGTCCCTACATGTAATTTGAAAAGAGAGAAAAGCTGCTGAAAATCCTCATTTGTAGATAGTTAAGGCAATCCTGGGATGTATCGTGATAAGATGAGTTGATTGATATGCATGAAAACCTCTTTTGTAACCGAAAAATCTAGATCAAACTACAAATTCAATGACTCTTTGAGTTTTTGATAGGAATTTTGGAGTGGATTAAATAGACTTTGAAGGATATGATGAGTTTCATGAGACATGGAGGATAATTTTGAGCAAAAAGGACGGTCACAAAACGAGGTTTAGAAGTCAGGGGTCAATTTCCCAGCACCAGTTGATCATAAGAGAAGATTGGAGCGAGCAACATGTCGCCTGCCATGCATCCCGTCATTTGTTTTCATTTTTCAATTTTGTTGAGAGGACCAGGCGCAGCCAGCCGTAGACACGCATGAGCCTGCGGACTTGACGCACCAGGCGCTATCTTTTTTTTTTTTTTAATCTTTTTCCCTTCATCCAAAAAAATCTAAATAATGAAAATTTAAATTTACTAATTTATCAATATATTGCACAAGATTTATTTATCTAATTGATTCTTTGGATTCGATTTTAATAGAGTTTTTTTAAAGCGCAATTAGAGGTTTATTTACTCTCCTAACAATGCACAATATTCTAGCTGGTTCGAGCTATAAATTAAAAACACAGATAAAAGTTGCGTGTAAACTAATTTGATAATTACTCCTGTTTTTTTTTTCGGAAGATTCGTAGATCATGAACTAGCTGCAAAATAGTTCTCTTTCATCATGCAATAATTTAAAAAACTAAAGTAATCAAAGTTTGAACCTGCTTCACTTCATAAAAAAAAAAAAAATTCATATTAGACATAGATAATATAATTTGCACATATAATATATTAGAGGTTTATTTGTATTTTTATTTTTTGTTTCGTGGGAATTCTAACAAGCTTTCCACTATCTCATGAGATGAGATAACCCTATCCATAACATATCACACATTTAGTGGAGTCTACGTAATATCATTGGAGCACCGTGCTGCGGCTGAAGAGTTACGATTGTGCGAGGAGCATGAGCATACGAAGGGGAGAGCTCGAAAGAGTAATTCTGTAAAATCATTGCCAAAGCCATTTTTGCTTCAATCAAAGCAAAGTTTTGTCCAATGCATATTCGAGGACCCCATCCAAATGGGAGGAAAGCGAGTTGACTCTTTGTTGCCTTCGAAACTCCTTCAGCAAACCTCTCTGGTTTGAACTCAGTGGCATCATCACCCCATAGTTCGTGATCTTGGTGGAGGAGGATTGTTGGCAACGAGATCTGCACTCCGGCAGGTAATAGCAAATTTCCAAGCTTTATTTCTTCATGAACATCTCGATTAAGCAAAATTACTGGTGGATATAACCTAAGAACTTCGTACAAAATCATGGTTACCTGTGCATGCATCGGAAGATAAAATTACACTACATGATAAAGAAACCATTAAAAAAGTCATTTGCATGCCCTTTTTAACTTAGCTAAATTGAAAATTTTTATGCTGATCCAAAAACAAGTACATCTCATTCTTAAAGTATACAGATGTCACATCATAGTTCCGCACTTATCTGCTGGTTGCATTTCCTCATCATTTTGGCCAATTAATAGTACAACAAACGAAAACATAAACTTCCCTTTTCTGCTCTCTGTTTTTTCCTACAGCTGTTTGTACTTGTAGGGTGCGTGTTCTTCCTAAGGATACGTAAGCTTGAAATTTTAAAGCAAGCAAGAATGCTCTGTGTTTTAACAACCATAAGACAGTTATTTAGAAGAATTATGTTGCAACGCATAGAAATACTCACAACTTTAAGGTGATTTAGCCCATCGAAATCTGGTTTTTTGTTACCAAAGGCTTGCACAACCTCTTCTCTTGCGCGTGCTTGCCAATCCGGATACTGAGCCAATAAAATCATGGTCCAGGTAAGAAGAACTGAGGTAGTTTCTTGTCCAGCGAAGTAGAATATTTTGCATTCGTCAATCACATCTTGACTGCTCATTCCAACACACTTGGAATTTCCATGCTCTTGTATTTCCTTAAAATTGGATTCCAAAAGTAAATCTAACAAGTCATTCTTTGTGTCTGCACCAGCCTTTATTGCTTTCTCTCTTTTGTTGATGAGAGCCTTAAGTGAAGCTTGTATTTCTTTGTCAATAGCTTTTAGCCTTCTGTTAGAAGGGATTGGCAGAAACCTACATGCAATCAATGTAAATGATGTCAGAAAGAAAGATTTTGATTTATACTTCTCCTTACGTATAAAATATATCCTATTTAACAAGGACTAACTTGAAGGAACTTGTAATGCCGAGCAAAAACAAAATAAAAGTTTACCTATATCCTGGTATGATGATTGCTTTTATTATAGCTTGAATTGTGAGATCGGTTAGTTCCTTGAGGAGATCAAATATTCTTTTTCCTTCTTCATAATTGCTTCCAAATGCCGTTCGAGAAATAGCATCACATGTCAAGCTTTGAAGATAAGGCCAGACATCCAATTCGCTTGGCCCCTCCTTCATAGAGACCAACTTCTCCCACTTGTTAATCATATCACTACAACTTTGGTAAAACGCAGGTATCATAAGCTGTAACAAGAAAACAAAATATTTCATCAAAACTTTCACTTTCTCTATAGACTGTAGCTATATGAGTGCATACAAAGCACGATATGGTACTCATTCAGGGTGACTGAATAACAAGTAATTAAGCTTATATGCAAATAAGCGAAAATTATTTAGTTGACCTTTAACTTCTCTTGATGGAATGCTGGGTTGATTATCTTTCTATGTTTAGCCCATTTGTCACCCTCGTGACTTGCAAGTCCACATGCCAGAGGCTTCAATAGCGGATGCGTGGGCTTCTGATATTCGTTTATCTTTATGAATACCTCCCTTATCTGATCAAGGTTCATGATGTTCACTCTTGGTTTCGGCCCAACCCACATAAAAGAATTCTTACCTGCAAACATTTATCTTTATGCTCAAAGATATTTAATATTTTTTGTTGAAAAAAGAAAAGAAAGAAGATGCTAAGATAGGCACAAACATCTCAAACATTAGAAAGAGAAACACATTTGAGCCAACACAAAAGAAGTTGTATTTCACGCTTGAAAGCAGGTTGTTCACACTCGCCAACAAGGAGTATTTTTTGTTTTCTTCATAAATGGATTCTCATCTTATATGTATATAAAAAGAGATGGATTTTACCCATATATGGCTTTTGTATTTTTTTTTTAAATTGTTTTGATTGAAACCTTATACATTTTATAGTAATTCAGATATAGAACCTATCCTTAGAAAGGGGTGAACCCATATCAAGTCACCGTAAGAAAAATGATTGTCTATCGAATTTGAAAACTCTAAGCTCAGTTCCTACCCTTAATTATAAGGATATACAATTATCAATCCATTTAACTTATCCATCTAATCTGTTTCTAATAATAATAAAAAAAATTATTAATTATGCAGCAATATAAGAATTATTGAAATGACAAAAAAATACGAATCATATCATTTCTAATTTGGATATGTAGCAGATATCCTTGTAATCAATCATATATATGTAGCAGAGAAAGCTAATTGCTCACCAAAAAGGGGGAAAAAAAAGGAAAAAAGAAAGAAAGGTAATTAAGCATGACGTATTAAATACCATAATCCTGGACCAATTGATGGAGAAAGGGCATGACGCGTGGTAGAAGAGCATCGGATAAACCAATGGGTTTGGTCCTCGCTTCTTGCAACATGGCTGTATTTTGTTTCCAGTCTCCGAACAGAAGCCTGCAAGGCTTGCCTGCAAAACCTTGTTGTCTCAAGCACCTCTCGAGCTTTTTCGGCTTAAACCAAACCCAGTTCAGCAATCTCCATGCCCATCTTAGTATCGCAACATAAATAATAGAGAGTAGGATTGAAGTGATTGTTATTGACATCTTTACACGAGAACCAGAGACAAGGGGTAGAGCAAGTTATGTTTGCAGAGACCATGCCTTCTGACTTTTATTCGAGGTTCAATGCTTCTAGAAGAGGGGAGGTGATACGTTGTTCAAAGTTATGTGGCAGGAAGTCGAGAAATTTTATATTCCTCATAATATAACCTTTCAAGATAAGAAAAGCCCAAAAGGGCCGAAGTACTAAACGTTTGCCATATATCTCAAGTTAATTATAAACTTACTTCTTGTAGTTTATTGAAATCAATTGATTAGTCCTTGTAATATCAAAAATAATTAACTACAAAAGTAATCCCTATTCATTGATTTGTTCGCAATATTATCACTTTTATTAAGTCTAATGTGATTTTATTTATTTATTTATTTTTCAAAAATAAATCCATAAAATAATTATTGTAAATATACAATATTTACTAATGGAGTATTTCTATATTATGAAAAAAGTTTATCTTGTTTAATTTTTTTTTTTTTTATCATTTTCATGGTTTTGTAAGTAAATTATAAATTAGTCTCTCTATTTTTTGAAAATTAATTAAAAAGTACCTTTAACTTTTAAAACTAATTAATTAATAATTTGACCTTCATATTAATTTAATATTATTTTATTTCAAAATAAATATCTTTTATATTAATAAACTTTTCATAATATTTTATTTTGCGTTTAAAGAAACAAAGAAATTAAAAAAATATATCATAAAATGGAGTAAAATATCTTATCAATTAACTACATTCCTAATGGTTATGAAAAGTCAAACAAACAATTTTTTTTCTTTTTTTCAGTACAGGAAAAAAAAAATTAGCATGGTCGACGCTAACTAAAAATTTTATTTGATTATTTCTGATGGTATAAGGAATACTTAATTTATTTTGATAAACAATAGGAACTAAGTTATAATTAACTCGGTAGATGTGTGCCATTTTGTTTTCCTTAACAAGGAATAATTTCATCAATAAAACCCAACAAGGAGCTATCACTATCCCATCTTTGATGAGAACCCACTTTTTTCCTATTTAAATTGTAAAATAAATTTCAACGGCTATCATTATTTTTTATTTCGTGTTTGTGATGCATAATGTCCGACTAAATCGTGTCAAATATTCTTTTATTTTTATTTTCCTAATGTGATCTTTTTTTTTTTTTTACACCTTTTTTTACTCTTGAATTTTTCTTAATGTGTCTTCTCTAGTTATTTTTTGATTGAAACTAACCCTTGATGTTTAAAAAATCTATGTAGTGTGTCATAATATTAGATTAAATTGCTGCACAGCATGCCATGTCACATTAATTTACCATATAGCAAAAAAAATTAAAATAAAAAACAAAAAAAATTAATATACCATATAGCAAAAAAAATTAAAATAAAAATTAAAATAAAAAACAAAAAATTAAATAAAAATAGAAAATTAAAAAAATGAGAGCTAAATTTAAAGAAACCACAGTTCAATGTCTATATAGCCTCAATTCAATTCAATCAATTTGTTTTTAACTCTGAATGGTCCAATCCAAATCTTGCACTTTATACCTTGAGAGATTGGACTCAGAGACAAAATAAAAATACAATAAAAGAAGAAAAGGAGTGGGAAGAGAAGGAGAAAGAAGAAGTCAAGCACAGTGAATAGTTCCAAGCAAAGTTGGACACTGCCCTAGTTATAACAAAGGTAACAAATTCTAGTTAAGAAAGAATCTCGAGATACTTTACATGTCTTAATCAAGAATATCAGTTAACTACATAACAAAATGATTTAATTAAGACAATATAGACATTGAATGTTGAATCAACATAACTAACCCAACATCACATGCAATTTCATAATAAAGATAATCACTCTAGCCATGATGTCACATTAATTTGCCAAGAGGCTTGATGGAAAAAGGTGGGTTTTGATTGTGCGGAAGTCGGGTGAAAAGATGAAGTTATTGGCAGAGAAAACGACGAATGGGTTTTAATTTATGGACTAGTTTTTGAAGGAAATGGCTTTGAGTGGTGGTAAGGGTGATTTCCGACAGGTTTTGGGAGGAAATGGCTGTGAGGGGTGGAGGCTTGATGGAAAAAAAGTGGGTTTTGATGGTGGAAAGTCAGGTGAAGAAAATGAAGTTAGCAGGTTTGGGTCACGGGTATTTGAGTTGGAGAACAATGAAATAGGTCAAGACTATTTTGGGTATGAAAAAGGTGAAGAAGATGAGGTTCTTTCTCTGTGCCAAATTGAGTCTGAATCTTGATGATGATTACATCAATCTTCATATGAAAAAATGATAGTGAAGAGAACAAGCAAGAAGCAGATGTTGGGTTAATTGAAACAGAGGAGGGAGGGGGAGAGAGTAATTAATTTTTTTAGCTCATTTTTTTGATTTTTTTCTTTTTTTTTATTTTTCACGCGGAAAACTAATGTTATATGGCATGATATGCGACAATTTTTTGCTAGATGTTACTTTTTATCAAAAAATTAGGTGAAAAAAAATTAGAGGGGCCATATTAAAAAAAAAAAAAAATTGAAAAGTACAAAAGGAGTTGAATAAAAAAAATACATAATCCGCAGTAAGAAAATAGAAAAAATAAAGGGATGTTTGATGCAATTAAACCTTTAATTATATGAAAACAAAACATTTAAGTATTCAATTCATTTGATTCATGTATGTGACGAAGATAGATGGAATAACTTAAAATCTGCCATATAGTATTGAAATCAAGAGTTATGATCTAATGAAATTACATTAATGCATATCATTTAAAATTGAAGATAAAATTTACAATTATCTGAAAACCTTCATATTAGTATATGTGGATTGCATGGTTTAAAAATAGGAGTCACCAAATTAGAATAAATAATGCTATTAAGAAATATATTAACCCATTGTTGATATACATGCATTAACAAGATCAAAACAATATATATTTTTTTAAAAAAATCAATGCATGCCATGTTTATCTTCCATTGTTGCATCTCATATTCTAATTATGTCAGTTATTATTATTCTCGGAATATGGCCATCACCTTTTAGAAATGATTTTTTTCCTCTTTGATCAACATGTTATTGCAAGTCCATTAAACACACACATTCATATGATATTCTACTTTTTGTATTAGATGCAGATGATGATTTTTAATGTAACTAAAACAACCATGCTCTCATATGGATGGCATAGTGATATAGACACGTGTCTTTCGATTCTTTACGAAGAATATGCAAACAAAACTTTTCCTGAAGGAGATAATCACCAAACAGCCATCGGGAGATCTTATAATTGAATAAAGGTCGGACAACTAATATGATCAAACAATTTGAATAAAGAAGACATCACCTCTCTCACTTATTAGATAAAAAGAACACACACACACACACACACAGATATATATATATATATATATATATATATATATATATATATATATATATATATTGGTTCCTAAGATGTTCCTATTACATCACTACCAAATATGACTATACATATACGCACTCGTTAGATAATGACATTCACTCAAAGGAATCCTAAACCTTCGAGTGGATATCGGGAGTTATTGAATATTAATAAAGAGAATAAACTGGCCTCCACTCTACACAAGTTAATCACCTCTTCACCTATATAAAGGTTAACACATCAAGTATTACATGTTTTTTCTTCTAAGTTAAGAATAGATATATGATATATCTTTTCCTACTAAGAACTAAATATCATTAAGTCTATTCAAACCAAACACCTATCTTCATATGCTACTAGAAGAGGACTTGTTTACGGGTAGAATTAATTGATTCAACATACAATAAATTACATCAGCAACACAATCAATCTCAATTAAAAGTCCTTTAATCATCAATATTAATATAAGGATAACAACCCCATTAGTGGAATTGTATGTGAAAAATGAGTAAAAAAAGCAATCTTAAATTGCATTTCTCTATCTCTAAGCTTCTCAATCATTAACAATTTGGAAACTCCATTGTTTCCAACACCATTTAACTTTATCAATCCTAGTTTCTACCAATTAGCATGCTACAAATACAATAACACGTCGAGTTGTTAACAAAATTATAAATATTATCAATGCCTTAAGCATAACAAGCATCTCTGCGTGCACCATCTAAAGAGGTTATTGCCTCAACATAAGTTTTGCCAAAATTTTACAAAAATAGACTAGACTAACACTCGTTTGAAAAAGAAACAACTAGATATTGTGAGAGCGAGGCTAAAGGGAAGGCAATGTTATTGTTCCCCAAAACCTTAAAAAAAAAAAATCACTCTTATCTACATGGCAAATAATTAACTAGTCGATGCTCGCGAGGAAACGCTAGAGGGATATAAAACCAAATATCGACACAGCATGAAGATCAATCATATACTACTAGGGATCAATATAGGAACTAGCACAATGATAGCTCTTCCTTCTTGTAAACCTTATAAGTTAACCCCAAACCTAAACGTTAACGAGTAGACAAAAGACTCGTAGTCACCACTTAACTTGAATCGGACCACTACATCTATAAGCTCTATCTCTTCACTCTCCCCTCCATCTTGAATGCCAAACTCTTAAGGGAGTTTTTTGCTAAAAAAATGAATCTAAACATGTATGATAGCATGATAGACTTCAAAAAACAAGTACAAAATGTCCGGATAAAATTTGAGCTAGTCATAAAGAATCCGGATGCCATATGCAAAGTGTTTCCTCTAACTTTTTTTTTTTCTTTAGAGAGGGGATGAGGAAGTGGTATAACAACCTAAAACTTGAGTCGATCCTTGGTTATGAAGACCTATGGTCGAAGTTGGTGCCTTGCTTCTTGATAAGTGCATAATTAGCATGATTTTTATGCTCTTTTATATTAAACTTTCTAGTGTTTATTGTACTATATTTAGAAAATTAAGATAAAGATAACGATTTTGGGTTTTTTAGGAAAAACGTTGAATTAAAGCAAGAAACCCAAGTAAAAAAGAAGGAGAAGCCAAAAGCCATCAAGGCACACGGTTGTGTATGATATAAGAAGAAATAACTATTGGTCGTGAGAAACAAAGAATGAAACTGTATGGATATCCAACATGATTAACTTAAACCTTTCGGACTTCTTACGGGTTTTGTGAAGCCTTAGAGTTGGATTTGAAAGAAGTGGTCATCAAAGACTTTGTAAATGACATCTCAATCTTTTTAGAATGATATAGTAGGTCAAAATCCAAGCTCGTTTAGGCCTCTAAATGATATTTTATATTCCGGTCTAGAAAACCGATTTGAATCCCATTCGGAATCTATATTAGTTGTGGAGTTTAATTCATATCTAGAGTTTTAGAATACACATACTCCAAATTACACATATAAGGTTCTCCGAGTATACACATACTCAATCCGTGAGCGTATGGGAATCATGGGCAATCATCAAATTGCATATATTTGAAGGGAGCGAGAATATAATGGTGGATAGACTAGCTAATGAAGCTTTGTAGTACAAGACCAAAGTTACTTTTAGAATGTATTGTCATTTATCACCGGATGTTAAACTAGCTAGTAGGCGGGATAAGATAGGGTTATGTAATTACGGGATGTTGTCCTGTTTTTAAGGGTAAAGCTCGGTTTCCCCTCGGTATATTTAGGTTAGGTTGGTTTGTCCATTCTTTTGTATTTTATCATATTTTCATTAATAAATTGTTAAGATGCCATCCTTGTTTTTTTTTTTTTTTAAAAAAGAGTTTTAAAACTTCAATTGATGCAAGGACAAGCCCATAGAATACTTAAGAGGAATACCTACAAGTCTTATAAAGGTCTTAAGTCCAAAATTGGTTGTTATCATGAAGGAATTCAACTGCAAAGTGCAATCCTAAGGTCGAGCGAATAGGTTGAGTTGGTGTTAGTATTTCGCTCATAACTGAAGTCGTAGATATCCAATTGATGCAAGGGTTAATGTGTTGGAAAGATAAGACATATATCTACAATTTAAGGTAGAAAGAAAACCTTAATTCAGATTGTATCAAGTTCATCCAAGATGATTATTTAAAGATATGGGATGAACTACAAATTCTACACGAGCAGAAACTAAAGACACGGGGATGAAGGTAAAAAATCACATCGACGGTAGCTAGGGACATGGGATAAAGTAAAAAAAACATGATATGAAGTGTAAATAGCACACGGTTGTGTCCCTTAGTCAAGCAAGCCGAGTGTCACAACAAACAAGCTATATGGGGCTGCAATGTGTGTGTTGTTACCCTATCTCTTGCTATAAATAGAGAAGTTAGGGTTTCACTTTATTCATTCTCTCATTCTAGGGAGATTCCAACTCCTAACAACCACCATAGATAGAAAACTCTCTTTGTAACCCATTAAGAACAACTAAACTCTATTCTCAATTAAATTAAGTTGAAACTTTTGGTTAAATCGCTATGAGATTATGAGGCTTTATTTCTAAACTTATCTTGTTTAGATATTTTATGTTTTTCTGTATGATTATCATGATTATATGATTAGATTGATTAGAATGCATACTAATTGTTTGATCATATTAACTTATTGTTAGGTAAATATTCAAGTCCGTGTAATTGCTTATCTAAACATGCATGTGGTAGTAATTAAGCATTGATAATTATTTTTCATATTTTTGTTCAATTTTTTGGAAAACATAGAATTATGTTACATCTTCTCTAACGCTTAAGAAGGTGGCTTAGCTTCACTTGTCTTTCTTTGATTAATGTTGTTATTAGATTAAATCTATATAGCGCTTAGTAGGTTGTTCGGTAGCTAAGGAATTAATTGAGTATCTTATATTTGATTAATGACTAAGTAAAGAAAGACTAAGGATAACATACATGTTGTTATATTATGGTGAATATTCATATTTAGGATAAATTAATGTTTAAATCGATGATCGGTGACCAAACTAAAAGTAGATACCGAAGTTCAACTAAGGTTCTCTTAATATTGCTATTTTGTATTACTTTAATTACTCACAAATACTTCAAACACAAAACCTCTCTCTTTATTTTTTACACTATAAGAATAATCAATCGAAAGAAACGGTCAATTAAACCTCATTCTTTATGGTTTCGACCCTTATTTTCCCTAATTACACTATTATGATTAAAGTTTTATGAGGATAATATAAATATCCAATTTGTTGGTAGTACTACAAGCCATCACTTCTTTACTAGTATTCTTGATGAAAAAAAGCTTGGGAGACTTGTTTTTAGTCTCTTGGAAAGATTGAGAGGGTACCTGAGCCTACCTCTCCTACCTCTCTCACTT